ACTTGGATTATGTAATTTCATATTATTTTGAGCGTAGAAAAGAATGAAAACTTACCCATGTTCCTGAATGGAAGAAAACAGGAAATGGTCGAACCAAGAGGCAAACGAAACAACGGTAACGTTAAAATGGCCATTAGAAGGGAATGTGGTTACATGGTTTCCAAACGATAATTTAATGAATCTTCCTGTAATCCCTTTCTAATATTCACTGGTAGTCGATAGGGTTGCTAAAAGAGAATAAAATAACTTTAATGAATCATGATACATGTTAAAACAAATTTTGAAATAAATATTTCAAATTCATTACCGAAAATTTATGTCAAAAAGAAAGAAAAGTGAATACGAAGGGCCATTTTTGCGGATCCTGAGGAGAATGGATCGCCATTTCACCGCTCCTGGTTACTATTTATAAAGATTTTCGATGCAGTATGGTCTGTGGAAAATACCAGTTTATTCTAAAGTATATAAAGTATACAGCATTTATAATCAATATATGTATATAATGTAAACATACAGTATTTCGGGAGCTATTATCATTCCAGTGCATAGGATCCAAACTACTTTGTTCAAAGAAGTTTTTCCTAGTTAGTTATTGTTTGTGGAGCAAGGTTTTATTATTTTTAGTGTTCAATCATACCTTATCACATAAAATCATTACGTAAGGAATTTTTCGGGGTAATTCAAGTACCCTCTGCGAATTGCACGAAACCTAATCTGTAATTCTTGGAGCTGGCGTCCGATAATGCCGATAATTTATGATCTTAGCTGATAACTTTGCGTAGATGTAAGATAACAAAGAATTCGAAGAATTTAAAAATTCGCCATAAAACGAGCTGTACACAATGGATATCACATATAGGATTATGATTACTTCGCATTGTCCTCAAAAAATTGCAAAAAAAAATTTATCTATAATATATGCCATCCTGCGGGGATGCGCATATTCACAATGGCATTAGAATTTTGGGTGGATCCCTAAAAAAAATATAGATTACGTAGTGTGCGAATTCTCATTGTGTCCACTGATTTGCACGCATAATTAAACAAAGGCCAGAGTCTCTAATACATAAATGAATAAGCATGCTACAATCGGTATTGTTTCCCATGGAGAATGCAATTTGCACCTCACTGTCGGAAATTTGGACCGGAAAAGTAAAAATCTATCCGGAAATTTCCGGGTGGAAGAATAAGGTTTTGAACAATAAGGTTTTGAACACTGAAGATCTCACTGCTTTGACCACCATAATATATTCTTTTGTTGGATTTCGACCCAATCTATGTAAGTGAAGCTCTAAACATTTAAAGATTCTACTGTATAAAAGCAAGATTTTAAACAAATAAGCAGAGTAAGTAAACAAACAATATTATATATTTGAAAATTAGAAGTGCAAATGCGTGTGGTGTAGTACCTAGCCAAGTTACAGAACACACAATCCACAATGAACTCTTTTTGAATCACAAGAACGACTCTAGGTAGAATTTGTATCAACTCTGGAATCTCAATCCAAATTAATTGGTACCTTAGATATTCCGATTCTCAGCCCTGGATTCGAAAATCTAAATAATGAAAAAGTACCTGACCCAATATGCGAGGTCCCAAATGCACGATTCTAAATTGGTAAAAGCTATTTATTTATTTATTTATTTATTTTCGTTTGGCATAATGAGCGCAATATAAATCATCAATTGAAGTTTCCAAGCTAATTCAGGTTTTAATTTAAACCAGAACATTGTAGCTAAATGATTTTATTGGACATACGCACGTACGTACGTGCCTGGCAATTTTATGAACGATCACTATGATGAGCAATTTATATTTATAGCGTATATGCACAAAAAATGACCTCGAACAAAATAATATATAGCTTTATCTCTCTTTTTTTTTTTTTTAATATAATCTTGGCGTCAACAAGTTATAATTCAGTAATTATTATCAAATTATATTTGGATTAAAAAATTAATTGAATTTAAAAGTTTCAAAAGCTTACATTTGGTATAAGGCAACTTGAATAGATACATATCGGTAAATTCTATGTATTATACAAATTAGTGTCTCTCTAAGTGCGCTAAATATACCATAGAAACTTTATAAAAACTTCTCTGTAGATGCACACATTCTTGCGCATGGTCCAAAGGAACGCACTTACAGATGTTTGGCTGTGTATACATCTAAACTAATCAGAAGATAGAGACAATTCTTGTAACACTGACTGCAGATCATGCAGATCATCACTTGTAAAGTCAATTCATGATTTCAATGAATTTTTTTTTCTTTTTTTTTTTTTTTTTGCCGGCATTGCATTGTGCATTCACTTTTCCTATAACTTGAAGGTACGTACGCCTCAGACGAAAATTAAGCCATATAACAATTTAAGGTGCAACATTATACAATTAATAAATACTATGGTAAAGGTATACGTGCGATACGTACGTATAATAAAAAAAAAGTTAAAATACAGTTGGAAATTTTTTTTTTTTTTTGGTTA